ATGAAGAAGGGGGAGGTCAGAAACCAGGAGGAGGGTCCCCTGACAAAAAGCCCCGCAGGAGGCCCTGGCTGATTAGCAAGGGGCTGTGGGGATCGGGTGACCCCAGCTGATCAGCAAGGGGCTGTGGGGAGCGGGTGACCCCGGCTGATCAGCAAGGGGCTGTGGGAGCGGGTGACCCCGGCTGATCAGCAAGGGGCTGTGGGAGCGGGTGAGGGGCACCAGCAGGGGACCTCCCTCAGGGCAGCTGTGTGTCTCAGCTCAGGCTCAAGGGTGTGGTCTGGGCCTGGGGCTCCCTATGGAGCAGGTCCCAGCGAGAAGCCCCAGGCCAGCAAATCTCTCAGGCCAGGACAACCAGCTCCCCCCACACACTGCTCCCCTCCCTGTCCTAGAAGCAGGAAAGAAGCTGGGGAAGATGCCTAGAGATCCCTCGGAGTTCTGCCGCGAGAGAGGGGACAGGCAGACAGCTCCCCGGCCAGCCTGGCCTGAGGACCTGGAAGGAGAAAGGGAGGGATGGGGAGGCCGAGGACCCCAGGGTCTGGCTCCAGTCACCCCCAGGGTGATCCTGTGTCAAGGGAAAGAGTGAGGGGGGTCCCCTGTCCTTGTGAGGTCTCCTTGACGACATCCCTTCTCCCCTGAAGATGCAAAATCCTGGGGACCAGGCCTGGCCAGGAGGGCCTGAGGTCAGAGAATCAGCACAGCCGGTCAGGACGAGGGGCTGGGCAGCTTCCACAGGCAGGCGGGAGGGAGGCTGGTGGCTGGGCTCAGTTTGTACTGGGGGTCAAAGGGGAGTTCTTTTCCAAAGAATTCTGGGAGAGAGGCCAACTAGAGCAAGCTGCTAACCACCTCTCTCTCTCTCTCTCTCTCTCTCTCTCTCTGGCAGGAGGGAGGGGTGTCCCTGCCAACCAGACTTAACCCTCTCCAGCCTGTGCTGCTCCCAGACACAGGATGGGGGCGTCGGGAGGAGACTGGCCTGTGCTGGGCTCTGCTTCTAGGTCCAGGAGCAATGGCCGGGCATCTGCCAGAACAAGGCTGGTGCCACACAGCCCATCTGGGACACCCAGCCCTGCCCTGCCCTGCCCCGGGGTGAGTTCTGGGCTCGTCTCCTGAAGGTGTCTGCAGTGACGTGTGTGTGCGTGTCTCAGAGACAGAGATTGAGAAATAAACCGAAAATGCCTTGCCAAGGCCCTCCCCACGCTGGGTCCCTGAGCCGGCGCTCTGCCTGCCTGTCTCCCTGAGACCAGAGGCCACTGCC